TCAATCGAATTCTCGTTTATTCTCATTTTAAGCTTCTGACTGCAGCCTCAATTTGCGAATTACGCAATATCCAAACAGTAATTTAAAACCATTAATTACTACTTTCTGGAAAACCTGACAAATTGTCAATAAGTTTTTTATACATTGAAGCATAAATAATATAACCATCCTCTTTTTTTTTTTTTTTTGGTTTTTTATATTGTATATATAGCTACTCTTCAGAAACTTGAGACAACCAACCGACCGAATTTGCTAACAAATTAACCGTTTTTACTCATCTCTAGGCGTAGCCCGATAAATAACAGTTCTTGATACTTGATATACGGATGTGATATGGTCAAAATTAGGGCCAGACTCAAAAGGTCACATGTTAAGGTTGCTATAATCCATTTCAGGACAGGCTTTATCTACATCTCTGTAAGTTAAGCATACCCCTCGACTGTATTGTGCCCACATGCTGCAGAAAAGTATGACGTAAAATCCTGAATATCCTGTAATGTCTTAATGGATTCATTAATAGTTCAGTTTTATATCTACACCAAAGGTTTTGCTAAATTTGAATTTTGTAATTTTAGCAAAAAATATTTGTCTTGTTTGACTCTTGTCCTAACTGTGATGATATCACATCTGACTATCATAACTTCACATTCCAAGGAGATCACGTTTAACTGCTTTCTTATTGTAAAAGTGAAATATGTTTTGGTTCTAGCGCTGACATTCTTCAATATGTTCGTTGTCAATTAATTATTCGTCTACTCTTTTCAGACCACTTCAACCAGTAATGGTGTTTTATAAAGCATTAGGTTGGAGGTGAACGTACTCCCAATCGATTCTTTCCATTTTGATTAATCCGGAAAAGTGAGGTCGACAAAACGAAGTGGTCGCAGATAAATAACTCTTTAGAAATAAAGATAGAATAATTAATAGTTGAAGCGAAGGGTTAAATACTAACAGATTTTCTTCAAATATTTCTACAGAAATCATCACACCCTCAGGCGGGAAAATCGATATCTCACGTCTGCTCAAATCAGACTGAATGTCTAATTTTCTTGTCGATTAGTTTGTTCTGTTATTATTTGCTGAAGGTCAAATGTTGACCTTGCTAAGGGTCAGTAAAGATAGTAACTTGCAAGCTGAGACCTGGATGAAGACGTCTTTGAAGACTCGGACCAATTGGTTATAGCGTTCTATGTGTAAGCCTACACTACAGCCATTGGCAGCCATAATGATCCTTTTTGGGTTGGATATGGAATATGTTGTCTGTTTCTACCACCAACTGGAATTTTTCACTTGCCAATATTTCCGAAAGGATAAAGTCTTTCAGAATATTGGATTGGTGCTGTCATTTCAAATGAATTGAACATAGGCATCAGTCTGGTAGGTAAAGTAAGCAAAAATTTTGAATAGAAGTGAACAGTCAGCAACAAGAAAATTCTTCAGTACCAAGACTGAGATTATCTGCAGTCAAAAGTAAACTTTAATTGAACATAGCCAACAGATTTTATGTTAATGGTAGCTTTTCTTTAATAACTCATGATTAGATGAAATGAAGAACACTTCATCTTAACTCTTCTTTGCTACTTTCGATTTATTAATCTTTTTCTTCAAGTATAGTATGACGCAACATTTCAAACATTCTCAGTATTTACAATTCCAAAAGTAATTCAATGTGTAATTGTTTCAAGAGAGTATCAGGAACAGTTGCTGATAGTTTACTGTTAACAAAGGTTATTGATTGAGACTTGTTTCACGTCACATTAAGGACCACTTCACAGAGTTTTAATCTAGCTGGATCAATGGAATTACTTCAGTTTCGTCACGTGTTGTCCCATCTGGTAAGAACCACACGGGCTATGTGGGCCAATCGTTTGATATAATAATAGTGATAATAATAATAATAATAATAATATTCATATCTTATATAGCGCATTCTACAATGTACATATAACATAACATTACAGTATTAACAGTATTATAGTTATAAAAATACAAAATGTATTCAACGATATACATGATAACGTAACATTCAACGATATACATAATAACATAACATTCAACGATATACATAATAACATAACATTCAACGATATACATGATAACTCGACATTACAGTATCAACGCGCTTAACAGTATACAAATAGTTACAAAAATACATAATGTATTCTACAATGTACATATAACGTGACATTACAGTATCAACACGTTTAAACAGTATACAAATAGTTATAAAAGTACATAATGTATTCAACGATATACATGATAACATAACATTACAGTATCAACGCGCTTAACAACGCGTATACAAATAGTTATAAAAATACGTAATGTATTCAACGATATACATGATAACATAACATTCAACGATATACATGATAACATAACATTCAACGATATACATGATAACATAACATTCAACGATATACATGATAACATGACATTATAGTATACAAATAGTTATAAAAATACATAATGTATTCAACGATATACATGATAACATGACATTACAGTATACAAATAGTTATGAAAATACATAATATATTCAACGATATACATGATAACATGACATTACAGTATACAAATAGTTATAAAAATACATAATGTATTCAACGATATACATGATAACATGACATTACAGTATACAAATAGTTATAAAAATACATAATGTATTATAAATAATAATATAACAATATATAAATAAAAATAAAACAGTAATGAGTGGCTAATTTATTTAAAAAATACATCATAACGATTATGACATGAGTCTATTCAGTTTGATAACAGAGGTCTGATCTACTCATTAGAACTGCTGGTCTCCGTTCACCAAAAACATAATGCATTAAATTAATATACGAAATTAGGCAAAACGTAGAATGATAGAACGTTTAACGTCACATATTTTTCAGAATCCTGTCTGGTTATTCATTCAGCATTGCTAATGGTGTATAAAACAGTTTCCATTATACTACCTTGGTAGCAACATTTATATAATGTACTTATAATTTAACAACAGACAGATTCAGACTTAAAATCACGTCGACTTTTCCTATATTGTCTAGTTTCGTAATATTTCATTTTAATCTAAAAATTTAGACTGTAATACCAAAATCCATTAGCAGATAGGATCAACCGAATTTGCTGTCATACTAACCAAATATCTGTTCAATCTAGGACAAGTGACTAAAATTATCGAAAATGAAAGCGCGTATGCTGTAAGCATCGTCTAACCACCTGACCGTGTTATAGCCTTATGTCGATGAAGTTGTTTTCGAAACCGACAAAAAATCTAGTCTTTGATTGTTCTAATGACGTTTGACAACTCTCAGCTTTCAGGCTACTATCTTTACTGACCCTTAGCAAGGTCAACATTTGACCGTCAGCCAATAATCACAGAACAAACTAATCGATAAGAAAATTAGACATCCAGTCTGATTTGAGCAGACGTGAGATATCGATTTTCCCGCCTGAGGGTGTGATGATTTCTGTAGAAATATTTGAAGAAAATCTGTTAGTAGTTAACCCTTCGCTTCAACTATTAATTATTCTATCTTTATTTCTAAAGAGTTCTTTCTTATCAACCTCGACGTTTTCATCTTTCCCGGAATGAACTGGTTTAGAATTTTCAGCAGAATGTTACTGGTTATTGTCAACATAACATCTAAAGCTGACTTTTTCCGGGTTGAAAATTTTTCTGATGATTTCTATAAATCATTAGGAGAAAATCTTTTCATAGTTAACCTTTTGCTCGAACCATTAATTCTATCTCTTTTTGTGAGGAGTTCTTTCTCTCTCATCATGCTGTTTACTACTGTGAGTGAATGGAAGCCATTAGTAAGTTACTATTGGAAAACTATAAAAATGGTATACTGAACAGTGTAGTTGTATAAACTTCATTTGAATTAGTTTTCCTTTTTAAAAACCACGAAACCTGTGAATTAATTCTCATTCAATTCCATCATAATGTGTAAAAAGTACATTTGGTATCGAATTTCGTGTTCATTTTGTGATTATGTCGACTACATTGGGAACGACTTTTGACTAATACTAATATTAAAGTAACTCTTTCCTTTTACAATAAATTCCCATTTCTTGTCGGCTCCCCTACATTTGTAGGAAGGTGAAGGAGCTGAGTTTTTGGGGATTTTTTAAGAGTTTATTTTTTTAAATTAGGGCTATTTTCTATTTTATGTGCTGAACTCAGATCTTGCACCTTCATGAACATTTGATAAACATCAAATTAAAATCAAATCCTGAAAAAAATAATCGTTGATCACCAGCATTAATACATCATACCGCGATATTTAAAACACGAAATTAATTATAAAAAAAGAAAAAAAAAATCCATTATATTATTATATTTCAAGAGAAATGTCTGATGTCCATCTTAAAAATATATTGATTAAGACGATGATAATTGTGATCTAGTTTATGGAACACAATGTCTATTGTAGACCAATAACAAAGACACATTGTCAGTAAAGAGTAGAAAGTTTTTTGTCAATATTCCAGGGCTCTCAAGCTGTGAGATCGCCTAACTTTTGTTGAAAAAAATAATGCAGGGTAAATGATAAGATCTGGGAGCCGTGATGGTTCAGTGAGTTGGACGCTTGATCGCTAACCCGTAGGAGCAGTGTTCAATTCCGGCATAGGCCGAGATAATACCTTCTGATATTTCAACCCGGTTTCCCCCTGTCTAGTCGTTCGGATGGGATAATAAACCGAGGCCGTTGGAAATCGAAAAAGAGCAGGCTAATGTCGCTTTCCCGGCAAAATTTGCCTCATTGCATCCTGCACGGCGTTGCTCGTCTTCATTAGCCCACAAGATGCAGAAAAGTAGTACGTAAAACTCCATTCATTTCATTTAATTTTCCCCCATAAGATCTAAATTGGTCAGAATAGAAACTTACAGATCTGTTAATGCATCTTTAGACAAGCTGTTTGTGGGCGTATATTGCCATATCTTTCGAGCTATATTACATGTGATATATTTTTGATTATTTCAGACGAGGTTGGTAAAGAGATGTATATAGTTAACAGAGGACGATTACAAGTGGTAGCTGACAATGGTAAAACCATGCTAGCTACTCTTAAACCAGGCAGCTATTTTGGTGAAATTAGTATTTTAAATATGGGTACTGCTGGCAATAGACGAACTGCTTCCGTCAGATCAGTGGGTTACTCTGATCTCTTCTGTTTATCCAAAAAAGATCTTTGGGATGTTTTAAAAGAATACCCCGCAGCTCGAGTGAAATTAGAAGCAATTGCTGTCAAACGATTAGAAAAATACAAAAAAGCTCCTTTAGAAAAAAGTAAGTATGATTATTTCTAATGCAATCGTCTGTTATTATTTATGACTTTAATCAATACGTTCGATACAATCCTCTCATTTAGAGCTTCGACTTTGAGTTTCCAATTATAATTATAAAAATATGAACATGCACGCATCATGCAAATTAGAGACTCTTTGTATCTCCCTTTATAACAGTACATGTACTTTATTGGACTTTCCAAGAATTTGATTTCTGCTTTGACTTCAGACGTGTATATTGCTGATTTGAAAAAGAGGTTTGTATAGTTGCTTGGACTAAAGAGGTTTTTGTGGCTGCTTCGGATTCAGGAATTTTCAGTTTTGCTTTGACTTTAAAGATTAGGTTTGTTGCTTTAAATTGAGAGACTTTTAATTTCTGTCTTGGTTTTTGAGTTTGTGATTGGTGCTTTGAGTTTTGTCAGTGTAATTGTTGCTTTGAGTAAAGGGGTTTGTATTGTTGCTTTGACTTTTCATGATGTTATTGCTGCTTTAAATTCAGATGTTTTGATTGTTGCTTTGAGTTTTTATAGTGTGATTGTTGCTTTGACTTAAGTGATTTTTTATTTCTTCTTTGGTTTTAGATTTCGGAGAGAGTTTGAGGGTTCTCTGATTTTAGTTTTGAAAGTGTCATTGCTGCTTTGACTTTTGCAGGTTTGTATTGCTGCTTGGACTAAAGAGGTTGTTGTTACTGCCTTGAATTCAGAGGTTTTGATTGCTGCTTTGACTTAAGAGGCTTTTATTACTACTTTGATTTTAGAGGTTTTGTATTTGTATTTTATGTTGATTTAAATTGCTGTTTCGATTGAAGAGGTTTTGATTACTGAGTTAATTCTAGAAGAATTTTGTGTTGAATCTAGATTGTTGTTTTGACACACAAGAGGTCTTTGCTGCTTTGATTCAGGAACTCATTTGATGAATTTTAAGATGGGTTGCAATTTTCGAAAATGAATTGAATTTGGTTTTGAATTTTGTAATCCAAATAATAATATCTTAGGGGAATTCTTCCCAGTGTACAATATAATGTTATAAAGAATGGGGAAATGAATACCTCTATTCCTGTTGAAGCATTGATTTATCTGCACAATGAGGAATATTTTCTTTTAAAATAACCCATTATTGTAGTGCGGAACATTACTGAAGAAAAATTGATTCTTTATGTAAGATTCCGGTGACACGAAGTCGCTAACAAATCGACATTTTATGCATCGAAGAAAAAATTCCATCGGGAAGGAAATTGTGGAAACACTATCTATTTTATCTTTATATTCTTTCAGTGCTTCCTGTGGTAATCTAACAAAAGTAGACCTCGAGATTCAATGCTCTTGTAGAATTGTTCTATTAGATAATAGAAATATTAAAACAGAACCAAATATAAACATTTTGTTATCTCTAGGAACGCAGGCTGTGAGTGAGTCAGTTGTCTAAAGATCGCATACCGTGAAACTCTTGAGTAACAACAACATGTTTTTGGGGGGTTCTATTGTAATATTTTTATGTCTACAATTGATGTATTGAGCACTATTTTAACAGGGGAAATATTTAATTATTGTATTTAGATTAGATATTGATAAGATATTTTGTCAGTGATGTTATTTTGGAATGAACTTGTCGACATCTTGTTCTTGATAATTCATATTCTGGTTGATTAGTTGATCACGCACATAGTTAATCAAAAATAATGAGTTAGGGAATTGTTCATTAACAGTGATATTGTAAAATTGACCAAACTAAGACAATCCATAACTTATTCATAACGGATCTCTAATTAATCTCGTAAACAGCTGACCACTCTCATTTGCATTTTTGGTTTCCAAATTTTTTACAATATATTGAAATAACACAACCATTGGATTTGGTTATTGAAATTGGGTTGATTATGATTATGACTAATTTACATATTAAAATACTACTTGATAATTCTTCGGAATTAAGATTTGGATAAAGATTACGGTCTCTTTAACGAATAATTTTATTCGGGTGTCGTTTTGAAAGTTTGCTTTAATTCTGTCTTTTGGGTTTTGACTCTGATTTTTTTTTTGGTGAAAATCATGAATTTCAGCGTAGGTGTATCACTATTTTGTAAGATGGACTTAGAAGCTCATAGATTTAAGCTTTTAAGCTTATGGATTTTCATTATTTCATTGATTGGATTACTCGCTTTAAGAAATGCAATAACCCTTCTTGTAAAGAGTTCCTTAGCACGGAATACGAAGGAATATTTCTTCTTGTAACGTTTGTTTTTTTTTTATTTTTCAGTAGCCCTTCCTCGAAGTAAGAGTACCCCTGGATTGGTCGAGTCAGCTGGAAAGATCCCTATACAAGCTTCCATGGTGTCACGCCATCACACATTACCTGCTAATATGTTAATCCAAAATAACGGACAAAATGACGGGCACCTGCGGACCGAGTGTCATAGTGAAGATAATCTAATAGCAAGATGTACTGAAAATTCAAATTCCAAAACTGTTCTTCGAAACTTCACAACTTCCATGACAGTGTCGAGTTTAACTTCGTACAATGAGGAGGGATCGCCCCTTCATTCGCCCAATAGTGTTAATCAGACAAAAGATTTCCACAGTCCTCCTCCTTCGCCGCGTTGTGTCCCACCTGTCAGCTGTACGACCACAGTCACCTCAAGTGGTGTTCCATCGTTCTTGGAGCCGTTCCATCAACATTCTCAGTATACATTTCCACAACATTTTACTCAGTCATTCCCATTTGTGAGTCCGCCACAAATGACATATCTTTCTCCTTATTGTGCCTCACCGAATTATCCCGCCACGCCAAATTCAAACATGCTGTCGACGCCGGGAATGTTTGCTCAAGCAAACATGAATGCCTCTCAGACAAGTTTGCTTCCCCCTTATCAACCATCTCATCCGACAATTCAACATCCTCAACAGAATCTTCCGCACACGCCTAGTAGTGGAAACTTCCTACAACCACCGTTGTCGCCTATGCCAACTTCCCCGATGCCACCAAGCATAAGCCCTATAAGTTTGAACTCGCCAAATCCACAATCTGAACAATTGCTCAATGAAATAGGACGATTGCGTGAAAGATTAGCACAACTGGAGACTGAGAACTCTTCCTTAACTGTGAAGCTGAACCAACAGCAGTGGGACGTGGAGAATCGGTTAGCGGAACTAGAGATGCATATTTGTCAAAGTGACAGTGTAGCGAGCACCGGAAGTGGTGGTGAGGAGAAGGTGGATAAAATGACACCTATAAATAGAGAGTCTATAATATGACCACATGTGTATGTACATTGATGATATCTAAAATGTATGAAATGGTCGATGAGACGGGTGTTGATGGAAACGAGCACATTATGCTTAGATGGACTGATGACATATTTCGGTGTTCATGACACAGCCGCTGAGGGAATGAAATGCTCGAATATGGCACCTGTTCGTATAGAATGGATTCTTGAGAGAATCGTCCACTCTGTGCATTGTGGTTACACGCTGATTTAGACTCTCTGCGAATATGAATGTTTGACAAGAATATTGGCTGAAATGGGTCAAAATATAATGTAATATTTCATATGTATTTCTTGGTCGCGCATTTGGACATAATGAAATCACCATGGCGTGTATTGTACGTGTATGTAGATTGACCGCGGAGAATTGCGACAGCCAGTGTTATCTACACAGCATTTTGGCAAATTCACCGTCGTGGCCGAACTATTTTCCGGAATAGGGAATTCATTACTATCTGACAGATAGGACAAGTTATGAATTTGAAACCAAATAAAAATAACGACAACAATCCTCGTGAATGGGGAACACAATGCAATTTATATGTATAGGATACTGTTACTACTTCAGAAACATAGGGCATCACTCGACCTGAATTACAAATTGTTCAGATTCTGTATTTTTTTAAGAGTGAAGTGGAAAGTATAAATCTAAACAGCAAGGCAGAGTTTTAAAAAGTTATAAATAAAAAACCAGTGTAACAATCTATGCTTTGACATTGACTGTCTCGACCTCTCGGTCAACCTTAGTTTGAAATATCCTTCGTATCTCAAGAACGACATTTATATTAAAATGGATGAGAAATAAGAAATTTTTAGTGTTCACGGCACTGTTGTAAAAACTTCTATCTTGAAGAGTTATTCAATCAGAAATATCAATCATTATAACAACTTGTGAACTATTGAGTGGATTATTATCACGAGAAATAGGATCAAAAACCGACATATATTTCAATTACTGAAAACATCCTTGATGCTAATTCGTTTGGATTTCAACTGAGAAATGAGCTTTTTTGAAACACAGTATCTTACGTTGAAATGTGTATCATGAGATAAATGGTAGTGAGACCGAATGTTATATCCGCATTATATAATGTTGCCAGCCGCAGAGCAAATCCTAGAAAAATTCTGTTAGGTAATATAATTGTATAACTTTCTGACAATGTTGCATACAGAACAGCGTTTGCAACAGCATAACAATATCTGTAAATGTTCTGTTAAATAATAAAATGTTATCTGACAATGTTAAATATAGAACATTTTGCTTCCTTGTTATTGCGAACCGTAGAGCAAATTCTCTAAATATTCTGTTACGTAATAAAATATTAAATGATAACTTAACACAGAACAGCGTTTGTATCCTCTGTTATTGTAAACTGCAAGGCGATTATTCTAATATCTGACATTGTAACATACCGCGTTTGCAACGTCTGTTACTGTCAACCGCAGAGCAAATCCATAAAATATTCTGATACGTAATTTTATCTGTCAATGGTTTTGGAAATTCTTAGTGATGCGTATAATGTGGTATATGCAGCTGCAGTCCTAGATTAATTTAACGTAAAAGCGACAGAATTTTCTCTCTTGGAGTATGTATCGATTTAAATTTCAATTCTCAACTTTTCAATTCGGCCCGAAAACGGAAACAATATGAAAATCGAGCGATATGTTGTACGAGTGACGGCTGTGTGAATTGAAAGTAAGTCTGGTGGAGCATGATTCACTGGTGTTCACGAATACCGTCGAGAAATATCAAGTAAATTTTAAGTCGCTTGTGAGAATACTTTGATGATGACAAAAATATGTGTGACTACTAGGTTGTGACTTAAAATCATTTTTTCTTCCATTTTGAGTGAGTGTTTATCTTGAAGCTTCGTTGAAAATCCTTTTTGACATTTATTCAATTATTTATTTATTTCATCATTATTAGCCTATTTTTTATTTCATTATTTCAAATAGAGATTTTGTTTCATACAATGTCATGCGAGACTTATACCTCATAAATGTGTTAACAGAATTTGCAACAGAGTGAACATACCAATAAGAATGTAAGCCATCTGAACTCTCTGAAAAGGGTGACGAGTTGCAAACCCAGTCATCCAGTCATAAAGTGGTATTATGTGTCCCGGAAAGATGAGTATGCCCTGACGGCCCCTATATTCCTTCAAGTCTTAGGACTTTGAATTACAGAGTTTAAAGGTAACAGTGCTCACAATGAGACCTACTATTATCGATTTTTATTGCAAATTGTTATTTTGAACATTGCAGAAATTTCAGTTATGGATTTAGCTGTTTCTGAAGAGGATTCGCCTTCAGAAATCTAGATACTGGTTGAACGCAGGGAAGTTAAAACGATTTTTCGCTTTAGTTTGATTAACGCTACCCGTGGATGATTGAGAATTTTAAAGAAATTCATTTTATGTTCCATTTGTTATCAGAAAGTGTTATGTTTGAAATTTAAATTATAGTTGTGTCCATTTTGAAATTATGGACATGTATGTTTGATAGTTTAGAATATGTAATGGATTATGCATTGATCCGCCATTTTGAAAGAATCATCGCCATTTTGAATTTGTGATCACATGGTATAAATATGCGATTTAATTAGATTCTTCCTTTTAGAAAAGTAATAAATTTGTTACAGATTTGTTATTTATTATAGTATATTTATTACAATTTATATGAGAAAATAAATGATTACATTTGATTTATTTACAAAATAATAATTTTTGTTTTTCATATTTTAGGTGTTTTGTCTTGTTAATTTGAAAAAGATTTGCTGCTCTTTTCCGACTTTCAATTTACTAATTTGACTGTTTTAATAATTTTAGTCTTTCGACTTGAGAAATATGATAAATATGTAATATATATTTCATTGTTATTTATTAAATAAAATTTCAAGTTAAATCTTTCATCAGTCTGGTTTGCTTTTGCTATCAAAATACTATACTAATACTTTTAGTAACTAACAAGGTTGCTTCTCATACTATTTTCTACAAATAATCCGGCTAATGATGCAGGGTGAAATAATGGAATTTTAAAGGAAATCGGCCTTGAGTTGCGAATAGACGAGGTACAGTGCCCGGTGCGGTGTAAGGAGTGGGATTGTCGATACAGTAGAAAATTGAAAAAAAAAAGAATCGTGTTCAAACCGTGTCCGGAATCGTACCTCGTGTGTTCACTTCTTCCATTTTCGTTTGTATCGATTATTCCGCATCGTACACCGTCTATTCGCAGATCAAGCCTGCTCTCTTTCGATTCCCAACTGTCGATGGACCGGAAGTCAAAATTTCAGGTTAACGAGCACGCGTCCAACTCATTGATTTACTGTGGCTCCCATTTATGGATTGTAAGCTGAAATATGGAATTGTGGAGATTAAGATATCTTCAGAAGAGAAGAAAATAAAAAATGAAGAAGACACCGATGAGAATTGGTATATAAAATTGATAAAGATAATTTAAAATGACACCTTCCACATAATTACCAATATTTAGAACTTTTGAACAGTTTACCAAGGTTACAAGATCCTAAATTAAAATTTGAATTGATAGGAAAATTAACTTCCTTGAGGAGTGGCATTTAGGTTAATTTGACGCACGTACAAGAGGATTGTCGTTAGACCCTATTATTGTAGTGGTTATATTGAAAATAAAAGCTAATAAAAAAAAAAACGGAACGAAAGTTTGGTCTAAGTTTAAGCAGACTAGGTATTTAGTAATTTGATAATTAATAACTGATCACAAGTATATGGATAACAATTACTTTCATAAATATAAAAGAAAATGGAATATAGTTTTCCGTCCAGCTTTAACTCGTGAAGATGATTATAATCTAAAATTACAACATTTGTATGGACAATGTGAATTAAAATCACATTATGAATGCTGCACACTCGACAGAGCTTATTGTTTTCTACAACTCATCCGATACAATATAGTACTTCTTGTAGCATCGTCAGCGCCACCATTAAATATTTGCCTGGTTGTAGTTTCTGTAACTTCTTATAGAGATGCCCAATAACTTCCAAACAAAGTTACTCAATATTGCGAATAGATAATTGTCGCTCACAAGCTGGGGCGGCATTCCCTCCACACGTTTGCTTACATGTCTGGTAATTCTTCTTCTACTATATGTATTTTTCTTCGAACTCTAGACCTGTTTCTCGACTTTAATCTGAAAAAGTCCGGGTTGGTTCTGATTAAAAAAAAACAATTCAATGAAATAATCTTTTCCAATATGACCACAGACATCGCAAACTCCCCAAACAAACTATGGATTTTGCTTCTGGCTTGAATATTGGCTATTATTTTTACTAGGTGTCAGCCGAAATGCTATTAAATAAAGCGTGTAATAAATTTTTCTGGATAGATTTCTCCGGGGACTTATTTTAGTGACAAATTCTGATATATAGTTTACTATAAACGTGACCACCATATTTTAGGCTATTGTTTCAGTCATTTGTATGATCTTAGTCAGTAGTAAAAGTCAGATGGCTATAAGAAGCTAATCGGGATTTATTGAGCTATAAAATTCGCTACAGTGTGTTGTCTATAGGATAATATTGTTTATTCTTGTTGAAGATTCGAAGGTGATGACGTCAATAGGAAATGATTACAAAATTGGTTTATATATTGTTTACCAAACTGTGACTTATACTGTACATATATGTACAATTTATAACAGGAAAAGTAAGCAGTTTTTTTTCTTCAGTTTTTACAGTTCCTCCTTACAATGAGTTACAATTTTGATTTTAATCTGAATTTCAATTAGATATGATCATTTTTACACCTAAATTGCAGACAATGATCTACAATCACAATGGTACACAAATTTTAGGAATACATGTACGAGCAATGCAAAGGGGTGGTTTGTAAATTGGTTCGATATATTACAAATAGGGCTAAATAAAATAAAATAAATCTACCAAACTAGAAAAGTCGTATTTGACTTAAAAACTCACCATGGCCATCAATGGGGCACAACTCTTGTTGATTCAAATTGTTAACGTTATAATTTAAAATGTAATGAAATTTTTCTTGTATCAAATAAACCAAGCGTGTACAACAAAAACTAAGAAATAATGTTTGTACTGATATCAATTACAATTTTGAAACTACATGGCAACAGATCGCGTTCCTACATTACAGTCTAATTATAAACAACATATATTCAAAAATATCCATTATATTATATAATGCTTATTGCACAGTTCTTTCCTTTGATATGCCTATAATGCGATATGTTTAATATCATACAATATAATATCATTTTATTTTGACTTTTAGGTGATGTTGAAAGAAACTAGGAACCCTTAAAATATCTCATATGTACATCTAAAATGTTAAGAGTTGTGTCGACTATCTGGAATTGTATATAAAACACCTAGTATGTATCTACAATATTATGTTTATAGCATTATTATAACTTTAACAATATCTCCATTATGTATATAACATGATTATAACTTATTATATTATCTAAATATGACTGTATAGAACATTATAACTTAAACATTATCTGAATATGTATGTAACACAATTATAACTTATAAACACTACAATATAATAAACAAACAAATCAAGTATCACCCCTAGTATTAACATAATTAACATTACCTATAAAAAACAGAACAAATAGAAAAACAAAAACCAATGTAACATAATTTATGTGCAACTATTCAACAATCGAAGATAAAAAAAAAAGTTCTCAAGGTATAAACAAAAGAATAAAATACAGAATACTCAAAAATATCTGTGAAATTAATGCTTCAGCCCAGTATTATTCTATTTGAAGTTTTGTTTAGAACTAAAACTATATTTTTTATCAATGCTATACTCCATCTGTGTATATCATAATTGTCGGCTGCTATTGGAGTTTTGTGTAATCTATAATGATGAATAAATGCTATTTGAGTATCCACATAACAATCTTTGTATGACTGGATAAATTCATGTACAAAATGTACTCTAGTAATCCAAACCCTACGTGGATCTACCATCACTTTTGATCGATCTCCAAATGGATAAAATTGTGAACGTTTAGTCCATGTAAAATATGTTAAGTTGTATTTTTCTGCCTTTTCCTTTAAAGGATATGAGTGTTTGTCTGGAGTTTCTTGGGAAAGTACAAAGGCACTTTGGAATCCAAGTGAACCACACGAACTCGATGGCATAGAAATGTTATCAACGATATCTTGCCACCTGTTAAATTCTTTTGGAACAACGACTTCGTCGATGTCAGCTAAAAACACATAACGAGAAACATATAAGTTCCTGAGTATACAGTCATGTATATGTAGATACTGGGCATGGTAATGCACTTCTCCGTCAGAAGTTGAGGGTATGGGTAAGTCCCACGTTAGAACTTCCATGACACCCATCTCTTGGTAATGTTGAATAATATCCATCACGCCATTGTCTCTTAAGTTATACATCACGAAATGTTCTGTGCCCAATAACAAGTCCGTTTCAATCATCTGGACCAAAGCTAATCTGTCTTTTACACCAAACATAGGTGGTACACAACGTGTGAAGTTTCTTTTATAAGAATCGGGGTATTTTATATGAAGTATATTTTGCGGGTATGATAAGTGGGGGATTCTAAATTTGTTAGGTATCAGGGAAATTTCTGTTACTCGTTCCTTTACACCTTGCAAGCTACATTTCACAAATCCTGAGTTGTATCTAAAAATATAGAAGCAAAACAAGTTTTCAATAAACAAATACAAGTAAAGTTTTACTAAAATTTCAAAAATTATTCTTTCGCTGAAGGTTTCTGATTGGCTGTATTTGCTGACGAACAATCAAATCAAATCGCTGCTTTCCGTGGTTAAAAATGGTGGACCGGAGCATTATTTTCCATATAAAGGGAGGCAACTAGACAAAATATGTTCGATATCAAAATCATTCCAATCTGGACCGACCTCAGTAAAACATGTTATGCTAAACGAATGTAGTCCGTGCTATTTTTATAAATCGTCTATCGGTTTTTGCTTACCTATTTTTTGACTAATATTTGGTTCTGGATTTGGAATTTGATGTCTGAATTTTATGAGATGAAAGATTTTCAAGCGAAAAAATTTCATAATTCTAAAAATAGTCGTTTTGTGTGCAGTGACAGTCAAGCGGATGTTGATAAAATGTAAAGGTCGGCAGTTCGGCAAGCTCAAGATGTTCATGGTCATGATATGTTGAATTTTTATACAGAAACTAAGCATTGGCCAGGTTTAAGTGTGACATATTGGATAGTGTTCAACTATTTTTTTGGGAATAGTTATAAAAAGCTGAATTTCGAGTTTTAACATGGAAACAGATGACAAATGAATTACCGAGTGTGTCCTGTTTGCGTCCAAAGACATTTAACAACAAGTTTAGGATTTCATGAAATTTACAAACTCTGTGGTAAAATAACTGCATATCGGGTTCCGTAAGGATATAATTAGAATCAGAGTACAGGATATGATTAGAATCAGAGTACGAGATATGATGAGAATCAGAGTATGGAATATGATTAGGATCAGTTGTACAGGATATGATTAGAATCAGCTGTACGGGATATGATTAAAATCGGAGTACAGGATATGATTAGAATCAGAGTACAGGATATGATTAGAATCAGCTGTACAGGATATGATTAGAATCAGCTGTACATGATATGATTAGAATCAGAGTACAGGATATGATTTGAATATGTATATAATTCTTATGTTTTCACATACATTGGTACAAACCAATCAGAGTTCAATTGTATACTGGTAGCTAACTTAATGGGCTCATTATGTTCATTCCAATAGATACATGTAAAGTCCTCGTTAGAATGGCTATGAGTAAGCATTATGGTTATCTGAAACATAAGAAAATAGGATAAGAATAATTGTTTAGTTATTGTATCTAATTTTAAAGCTACGGGTCATCATTTTCAAGGGTTAAACTTGGTCTTGAACATATGAATATATGTAAATAGTCTTCAGAAGTACAAAAATATGTACGAAAATCGCATTATTCCTTCCTAAAACATCAAACATCCTTTACTTTTTTTAACAGCATCGGCGCTTTTCGATGTATTGTCAAGGAAATGCAACTGTTGAGTTAATGCAGTTTTGTTTCATTGATGTTACCGGACGAGGGGTCTAAAATACAGGGGTTCAGTAGGAGTACTTGCGATATTGAGCTTACAAAACTTATTTCATCTTCAATCCAACGAATATGGACAGAATACAACAGATACAACGGAAAAGGCTCTGAAAGATTTCGTGAATTTAAGCTATCATACTCTCGTTCATTTGTCAGATTTTATGAAACACTTTCGGGTAAAGCGAAGGGATTAGCGTGTATATTCTGTTGCCTATCTTGTTCAACTGTTTCATGAGAGCTGACATTCATCTGGGTTGAATTTTTCATGAACAACCACAAAGCTAACCTGAATAATATCATGGGTACTTCTGTTATCATAATATGCTGAATAGACGTAAGAATTCTTTAGATCCCCAACTGGCTGAAATCCTTTCGTGGTTGGTGGTGGCTTTTCAAGATTACTGAATTCCAGTTGAAGATTATTTATTATCTCCATATAAAATATGGTCCACGAAAAGCTTACACAAAACAGACAGACAGCTATCACGAATCGAAATTTTAATTTGCTTTGCTGCAAGAATCTAAAATATTGAAAAAAAGCAATACGACGTGAAATTATTTGATTTGTGTTCACTTAAATTCGGTGGCAGTGCCAGACTCCTGGGACCGGGAGTACAAATAGGGGGTAGAAAAACTGCGTCAGTTCTGTAGAGCGCATAGGCGCGCGCATCCCATGGAGCGTCTAAGAGGGTTCTCCCAACAAAATTTTCGAAAAATTGAATTGATTATGGTGCATTCTTACACAGTTTTGTGCAAAAATATATAAAAATTATAATTATATTATGCCGAATTCGAAATTTCAAATTCAATTCGAAGAAAAGGGCAGTGGCGGAGCCAAAGGGGTGGCAGAGGGGTCACTACCGTTTTAATGCACGTAAGATAACCTCAGGATATATTATTTCCTGAAATTTGTTCCAAAATATGTCAGAATGCATCGAGTCAATTATTTTTCCAAATTTTTCCCTCAGAGATTATGGTGCATTTCAATCTTTAACCCGACAATTGCATCCTCCTCTTCCCTCAGTCAGTCTGTCCCTATTTGTACCCCAGTTAGGTTATTTTTAAACTTTTTGCAGATGATCTGGAGACCTCTAGCTCAGACACAATTGTTGAAAAATACGCACCAAGATTTGACATGAGCAGGACAATCTGTTTCAGTTTAATTGTCATCATTTTGATTTCATATATAAGATAGAAATATATTCTATGCTCAGTTTAATTGTCAATTATGACTGAAGTTATCGATCAATATCGCAGGATGGTTTAATTATTAGTTTTTGTTATCATATCTTTATGACATTGAATTGCCTTATTCTAAAATCTCCTTAATGACCTTAACCATAAATAAATCTTGCTAGCTTGTGACTCAGGTGAAGATACATCTATGATTTCCGACGTCACGAATCACACTTTTAAAAAATGCACCGTTATGTAAAGGTGACACTAAGGCAAAACTGACACCCTAGAGCTATTAGTAAAAGATCAACTAAAAGCACCAACAACTAGGCAAATGGAGGTAACATTAGTAAACCCATTATGTCGCATTTGACAAAGAGAAATTCTGTGAAAAGATTTTAAATATAAATATGATATCTGTTAAATATATTGATGGTTACCGTTGGCATGAAGTCTAACAGAATGGTGGGTTTCCTTATTTTTTAGTGTCAAATTAAGTAAACTAATAAAGAATTTTAACCAAACATAAATATCCATGTATGTACACTGTACAGTCTGGAAAAAAAAAAATTTTGATCTTTCTTGATCGACCCCTCATTGGAATTCTGCTGGTATAATTCATGAATTAATTATGGACATGTGAGACAAACTGGTATTTAAGTCAATAAAATACATCTACTTTCTATTAATATAATTATTAGCATTTTCATTTTCATAAATGAAAATAAGGGAACCCATCTTTTACTGTTACAATGAAAGACACTTCAAAGACAACAGGCATTTTGCCTTATTATAGAAAAAAAAGACGCAAGTTACACGTGTTAGGAAATAATTATATTAATATACAATTAACAAAGAATAACAGCTGTTTACTGGTATCACAATAATACCAACGTATTTGCTGAATTTGCATGCATAAAATAGATGCATCACTGATAAAGCGATAAAACGAAACAGCAAATTTAAAGGGGCAATCTGGGGTTTTTTTCGTATGTCGAACATTTCTTTTGCTCAAATTTATCAAAACTATACACCAAATTCGTGCTTAAGTTCATCGAGTATCGTAAACTGCCATTAATTTTAGAACGCCAAAAACTAGTTAAAAGGTTTACGTAAACGCTATCATTTAGTGTTTGATGTTTAAAAACTAATGTACAGATTTAAGCAAATAAACACCAATTTTTGAAGAAAAATATGTCTCGACTAAATTATCGAGCTTTATAGGGCTCAACAACAAAACTAAATTATACTGAACAATTAGAACACTCGGCTTTTATTCAATAGGTGTGTTTTCAATTACCTATTTTATAACAAATTCTTAGCTTTACTTATCAATAAGGAATCTTCACAATGTCAAGCTATAACGAACTTCGTACGTATACGCATATCTGATACCAGACCATAATTCGCAGCCGTTAAGTATAACTGGTGTTACAATTTTCTCCCATAAAGCCAAACAGTTTGCAACTGTCATACCATTACTTCTAAATCCAACAGGTGCCAGAGAATTAATTATAGATTTTCCCTTTTTACAGCGTTCACTGATTACATCCATTGTTTTGAGTCTGAAGTCAATATCGATGGCAGCGTATTTAACACATTTAACGTCACACATTACTGTGTTGTTAAGGGATATGTTTAGATTATAACCTAACTGTTTTTAGGACTTTCCACCAAAGACCACTATATGACTCTTTGGCGTATTATATTTCAAACGACATTCAGACGCATATTGTTGTAGAACACTAATCATATTCCTTAGTCCACTGATCGTTCGTGAAACTGTTTTATCTTCAGCTATCATCAAACAAGGAATATGGTTACCATTGATATCAAGACCACATCCATGAGGACACAGTTCTTACAGAATCTGATCATTGATCATGACAAAAAACATCCAGGAACTCAGAGTCTTGCCTTGACCAACTCCTTCACATATTTTTCGGAATAGATACCATTAAATAAGACACGACCTCTAACACTCTCGTATGAAGATTTGATAATTCTCCAGTATCTACCATTTATTCCCAACTCGTAAAGTTTGACTAGTAGTTCAGCTATCCACACGGTGTTAAAAGCTTTAAAAGCTAGACCTTGGACTGGTGCTCTATAGGTAATGGCTCGTTGTCTCCTTTAGGGTTAAAGCTGCCGTCAGACTACTGCACATTGGTCTGAATCCTTGTTGTAACTCATGTGGAAAGTTAAGGCGTTTAAATTCGGGATATAGTCGATCAAATAGTATTTTTTCAAAGAGTTTTTTTTTTGGGACTGAAATGTCTCAGTAACCCGCTTTGTCGAGCTTATTCTTCTTATCCCCTTTAAAAAGGGAAATAACTGTCGTATACTTGAAGTAATCTTGGTGCACCGTGTGGGCTAATAAAGACAGATAGCAGGGTGCAACGAGGAAAATTTTGTCAGGACAGCGTCATTAGCCTGTTCGTTTTCGATTTCTAACTGTCGAGGGATCTTTAACGTGCTCAGCCTATAGCACACGGGGCCTCGGTTTATTGTCTTAATTCGAACGACTCTGGGCGCTTTTTCCACTTCAGCTCCTCTTACCTGCATCACTGACTGAGGGAAACGGAAGGTATCATCTCGACGTATGCGGGTCTAACTCACTGAGCCATCGCGACTCCGGCAGGAACAATTTAGAAATCTTTTGAAATATAGAACAGATTATTGTAATAACATTTACCTCATGGCGATATCCATCACGAGTACGTAGAACGTTTTAAACTGATACTACAGATTATTATAGTAAATCTACATCATTACTGCATGCCATACTGACTTAGATGGTGGTCCAGAAAGGTAGACATGGACTAGTATATTGATTTGCTTAATGCAATGAACAAACGAATAGACGAGGTATGGTGTACGGTGCGTAATAATGGATACTGTAGAATGAATGAATAGGGGATACGGGTCGGGACACGATGCGAGGGATTAAATGATTAATTAGGATTTCTCCACCGGGTTTTCGACCTATCATTGATGTAAGTCTGAGAGGCTGACGTGGAAAAAGAGTTTAATTGTTAAGATGGTACAATAAACCAAAGTCTTGTGTGCATGTTAATAAATCCTTCGACAGTTAGAAGTCAAAAAAGATTGGACTAATTCCGATGTCCTGGCAAAATGCACACTTTATGGCGTTGCCAATCTTCATTAGCCAAATCAAATACAGACAAGTGTGACGTAAAATCCATTTCATTTCATATCAGTGCATCAATAAATATTGTTTAAAACAAAAAGGTAGAAATAAATGGGGTAATACACAAGGTATTCGTAATATTGGCTATATCGATAATCCAGACGCCGTACCTCGTTTGTTCGCATGTGATTTACATGTTACAAGTACGGGTAGTAGAATGTCGATTGTTCACACCACACTATAAAATTACTTTTAATCAATACATTTCTCAGACTAATGAATATTAGGATTATAATTAATGGATATTTTAATAAGAGATACGTTCAGGTCCAATGAATAATACAGAATTACTGAATATTCGATTTTTTTTTTAAAATTCTAGTTGTCCATGTATAGTATGATTGTCCTGAAAGCTGCACGTTTGTTGACTTATTCGGTCTGAATCATCGCTCGAATGACCCAAATTCACACATTTCAAAGTTAAAGGGGGCAAAATGAGTTAAAGACGTCTAAGTTTTTGATGACGCCACTAACCGCGAATATGTTATGTGATACAAGCATTATTTTTTGATTAGTGACGTAATCATGCACGTGGTTTTAATGAACGAACCACAAAAGTCTAATAGAAAATTGAAAAGGTTTAAATTGATGCTATCAATGTCCCCGATAGACATAAAGAATTTAGAAAACCTCTTTAAAATCCCTTAAAATTAAACTTCTACTAATTTCTGATTTTGTGATATCCGAATATATTTAGATTAGACATGAGAATAAGTTCTACTTGATAAACTTCAGGTTTAAAATTAGGTCAGTTGTCTGAAGATCGCATAGCGTGAAACTGTGAGTAACAACGTGTTTTTTAGGTTCTGTTTTAATATTTCTAGACTATTAACCACACAAATGCATAATAAACAGTTTCGACTGAATATCAAGCGTTTTTCAAAAATTAATTGTAGTTTTATGGTTAGTTTTATGAATTTATCGGATTTGAGAGGGATTCTATAGAAAAATTATGACATGAAAGTTTTAGAATTTAAATTTAATGTTCATTTTAAAAGGTGGTATCATTTCAAAAGCTTTAATAAGTATTACATGGGTCTTTTAAATGT